CAACAGGAAAGACAGAATACACAAGAAGGGAGCATCAGGCCATAAGACTGAGATGCTTAAGGGCCCCAGTTATTTGGGGGGGCATCCTTTTATGGGGTTCAAGAGAAGGAAGAGTTTGGTTGCTAAGGGATGTAGCATTTCTCTATTTTGATTAATAAATTAGATTAATCATTTTTCCTACTGTGCATGTTCCTTCCCATAGTGTGTCTGATCTTAATCATATGCATGTCCAATTATGCATATGTGTAATAGAGTAGATTAAGGATTCTCCCTGTATATTCACTTGAGGACACAGTTTTGCCTTACTGTGCATTCCCCCAAAACCAGTTCAGGCTGGATTGGCCTTTCCATTCTTCATGCCCAGATACATTGGGAATATATTTGAACAGAAAGCATCTAAGTTTGATTTTTGTTACTGGAGGAGAAACATCTCATTGTCCAGAGAAAGGTACGCATGTAGCCACATGCAGGTGGGGGTCCAAGGTTGCTAGGTGCATTGTTTGGCGAGGGACCTGTGTACATAGTACATGTAGGTAAAGGTGCGAGCCTCTAAGTGCGTTATTAGAAGAAGGGTGCTTATAACCTGAACCAAGTAGAGTTAGGGTGTTAAACTTTTCCCCATGCTTGCCTGCCTCACACTTAAAGGCTTCCTTCCTTTCTTCCTTCCTTCCTTCCTTCCTTCCTTCCTTCCTTCCTTCCTTCCTTCCTTCCTCCCTCCCTCCCTCCCTCTTCCTTCCTTCCTTCCTCCCTCCCTCCCTCCCTCCCTTCCTTCCTTCCTGACTAGCCTGGAACTATGTATCCCATGTTGGCCAAGAGCTCCCTTTGATCCTTCCACAGCCTCCTGAGTGCTGTAATTACAGGTGTGAGCCGCCACATTTGACAACAGGGTTCCTAAAATTCAAAAGAACATCCACTTATTTGTTCATTTATAAACAGTAAACAACTGCCTTGGACCAGCTCCCAGGTGCTATGTGGTACTCTAGGGCTTTAGTTTTCCTATTTCCTGCCTGTTAGAAATAGACAGCCAAGGACAACACTTTGCCCTCCACACAGCTTTGTTTCAAAAAGAATATTTAAAAAAAATATTTTTTGGCAACCATTTAAAAGTCAATGGATTTCCTACACAAAGTGTAAATGGAAACACTCCAGTAGGCAGGCATTTACGCTGTGTGGCTGTAATTGACTGCAGGTGCATGCCATCTCCCATTCAGCCTCCTGACATAGTCTTCCCACCCGTTAGTCTACTCTTAGCTTGGCAGTGCCCTGTGGCAACCAGTGAGCTAGTTGGTAGGAAATGGTCCCAGAATGTAGACTTTCACAAGCTGTATTATGTCCTTTTATCAATCCCAATTGCAAGAATATTCTAGAATTTAAAGTATATATATACTTTAGTATATAGTGAGAATGAATAATCAAGTACACATCAATGACAGAAAGAATCATTCCACTCAAATAAATATGGGGTGAGCTTTCCCCTCATTCTCTGGGTGTGGATGTTTGAAGCCCCAATATCATATCGGTGCAGTTAATGTGACCCCAGCCCAGCTTGGTAACTTCGGAGTCCTGCAGGCATAGCTGCTGCTTAAGGATCCAGAATTCAAGGTTATTGCAGCTATATATTGAGTTCCAAGGCACCCTGGGTTACATGAGATCTTGTCTCAAAAAACTGTACGCTGGGGCTGGGGAGATGGCTCAGCGGCTAAGAGGCTGCTCTTGCAGAGGACCTGGGTTCGATTCCCAGCACCTACATGGTGGCTAACAATTGCCAGTAACTCTAGTTCCAGGGGATCCTACACCCTCTTCTGACCTCCATGGACATTGCAGGACATGGGTACAATTACATACATGCAGACAATACACTCATACACATAAAATAAAAATAAAATATTTTAAAAATATTATCTGAATTAGAACATCAGACCCGAAAGTGTGTAGGTACTTTGAGATGCTCCCAGAAGGCATCCTAGGTAGGAGGGGCACAGGTTGGTTGGATGATGCATCAGAACAGCCTCAGAGCGATGGTTGTCTGTTACATAATGCACGTGATAGGCAGAGCTATTCGTTGGTAGAAATTTCATAGCACATGACAGCTGTGTGGCACATCTGTGGGAGATTAAAAAATCAGTTTCATGAGTATTAGCTGGGAAAGACAGGGCTTGGCATCAGTTCTGTGAGAGAGAAAAAACCTGGGAGTTTGAATTGGGAGCAAATTCAATATACTATACACTTAATGAAATGCTGGTCTTCATCCCTAGAATGAAGGTATCTAGAACTGATATGATCTGAGCTATTGAGACCTTGAAGTGCCATAGTAAATTTTCATCTTTTTAATAAACGATGCTGAAAATTGGGGTTTGTTATTCAAAATTGTCAACAGTCTAGAAATCATGACTTTGAAGTGATTAAGAAGCCTGGAGGTGACAGGTGTCCATTTTAACCCCAATTTTAACCTGGAGAGGAGGGAGATGCCGTGGTGCCTTGTGCATCCAGAGGCTTCACTAATGTAACCCTTGAAGAAAAGTGAAGTTCATGTCTGTCAAATAAAAAAACTAACTAATGAGAAATCAGTAGGGATGTGTACGTGTGCTGTTTTCCAGGGAAGAATTAGAATACATGGTGAAAATCCCAGAGAGAAGTAGATTTAAGATTCTATTAAAAGTGATTTATAATACCAGGCATGGTGGCACATGCCTTTAATCCAAGAACTTGTGAGGCAGAGGCAGGTGGATATCTATGAACTTGAGGCCAACCTTGTCTACATAGTGAGTTCCAGGAGGACTGGGGCTGTGGGACACCCTGTCTAAACAACAACAACAAAATCAAAAAAATGATTTGTGGTCCAGTGAAATGACTCAGTGGGTAAAGACACTTACCACCAGGCCTGACTACCTGAATTCAATCCCCAGGACCTACATGGTGGAAGGAGAGAACCAACTCTACAAGTTGTCCTCTGACCTCCATAACCACCAAAAAATGAAATAAAGTGATTTGTATGGCCAATGCTAAGGAAGGACAGTGTATGGGTTTTCCCTGAAGTGTTTGTTTTACTAGATTAGGACAGATTCTAGAAGAGGCTGAAAGGGCTTCTGTTAGAGATTTAGTATTTAGTGCAGACCAGGTTTCTGAGAAGGAGGATAAAATGGAAAGACAAAGGCTTTGGAATCACACAGACCAGGGAACAAATTATGCCTTTACCATTGAGTGGTGTAGCATAAGACAACATACCTACCCTCTCTAAGCATTCTTTTTCCCATGCATTAAATGGAGATGTTAAAATATTCTTGTGAGAGTTAACTGAACTGGTGGATGTGAAATCCCAGAAACAGCGCTGTTTGACTGACAAGATGGTTTGGTGGGGAAAGGTGCCTGCCACCAAGCCTGAGTACCTGAATTTGATCCCTGTCCCACAGGGTAGAGAGAGAGAACTGATTTCCAGAAGTTGTCCCTTGACCTCCTCCACCTGGATGCAGTTTCTCTCTCTCTCTCCTCTCTCTCTCTCTCTCTCTCTCATAAAAAAGAAAAAAGAAAGAAGGAAGGCAGGGAGGGAGGGAGGAAGGGAGGCAGGGAGGGAGGGAAAGGAAAGAAGGGAGGACGGAAGGGAAAGGAAGGAAGGAAGGAAGGAAGGAAGGAAGAAGGGAAGGAAGAAAAGAAAAAAAGGTAAAAAAGAGTAGCTCTGGGTAGATGTTACCGACTTAGGGAGCCAAAGTTTTTTAGCAACACTTTTGTGGCTTTAGTGCTGGGCACAGGACTTGCACAGGACAGCTGCTCAGTACACAGGGCACCTTTGTTGGCTTTATGGTCATGGCCCTGGGTACTCTAGAAACAGCCTTGCATGTACCAAGTCCTCATGGCCAACAAAAACAGCGTGCATAGCAGAAGGTAAGGGGGTTTGGTATCAGACTGCAGCTCTTTATTGTGTGAAGCTTCTTCACCTTTCTGAGCTGCCTTTTCTCCCGTCTCTTCTGAGAGAGTAAAAGAGAGCTCACACAAAGGCATTGGCTGGCCTTTTCACAGAGGATCCTCTTAACCATGCTGGGAGGCTGACCTGCTCTGAATTTGTAGAAGAAGCAGCAAGATTCAAAAGTCAGAGCGATTTGCTCAAAGGGGTAGGGATGTAGCCCAGGGGTAGAGTGCTTGCCTAGTATATATAAAGCTCAAGGTTTGACTTGAAGCCACACATCCAGGAAGGAAGGGAGAGAGGGAGCAAAGGAAGGAGAGAACTGACAATTTGCCCTAAGAGATGGTTCAGTTCTTTTGGCTTCATCTTTTCTTGTAAACCATGATTGAAACATCTTGTGTCTACTGTGTGCCAGATATTATGCTAATTATATCTATGTGTGACCACGTTGGGTATTTAGACCCCCAAACAGAGTTGGCTGACATTGTTTCTTTAGAACATTTTCAGGATGAGCTTTCCTGGACATTTGGTGAAGGTCATTATTCACTGGGCCATGGTCCTCTTTGATACCTGACTTTGGGAGGGACATACAAGGCACAAATGAGGAGAAGGAGATACTGGTCCAGACTGTCACATCAATCAGTCAGCCTTGTCATCATGGTTGCGTGTCTTCAGGAGGGTTACCAGTGCTGCTAGACAGTTGGGCCAGGTTCCACGGCTGGAAGTTCTCAGGTCTTTTCCAGCCTGTTGACATGGTCTGTTGGTTTGCACAATGATTAAAATGAATTCTTTGAAAATATTTAAATCATGAGTTTTCATGAAAAGTATATCACCCAAGCCCTTTGGCTTCTCTTATGTAATTGCATAGTGTGGTAACCCTGAATTCATGTTTCCCAGACGACAATCACTCCAGCACTGTGTAATTGCTGCTTCCTGTAAGTGGAACAAGAGTCTCATTGTCCCCAAATGGGCCATGTCACTCTCTTTTCATTGACAAATTTAAATTAAATGTAGTAACCCATGCACAGTTGATATTAATAAAATCGCCTGCAAGAATCTTCCAATTTTTGTTTGTTTTTCTGACAATGTCTCTCTTCCCTAGTCTGTCATTGCAATGGGAAGTCCAGGCAGTGCATCTTTGACCAGGAGCTTTTGCGACAGACAGGCAACGGGTTCCGCTGCCTTAATTGCAAGGACAACACAGATGGTGTTCGCTGTGAGAGGTGCAAGGAGGGGTTTTACCGGCACCGAGACAGAGACCACTGCCTACCCTGCAATTGCCACACCACAGGTAGGTGGAAAGTGGGCAAAAGAGGAAAGAGAGAGAAGAGGAAGAGGAGGAGGAGGGAGAGAGAGGAGGAAAGAGGGAAGGACAAAGAGGAGGGAGTCAGGGAACACATTGACCAAGAGGAAGATGCTGAACATCTGAGAGTCTACCAGAGCCTACTCTTATTTAGCAATTTTTTGTCTACAAGGAAATGTTTTTCTTGTATTGGGGTAATGGAAGAAGCTGGGATCACCAGGGCCTATTGGTTTGCATTCTAATACCAACAGTCACATATCTTATTTTTCAGTATTGAAAATTAAATCCACAGCCTTGCACATGTTAAGCAAGTGTCCTACCCCTGAGCTATATCCCTTTTAAATATTTTTTATAATTTTGAGATAGAGTCTCACTAAGTTACCTAGGCTGGCCTCAAACTCTTGATCCTTCTGCCTATGGAGCAACTGGAATTACAGGTATATGCTACCAACCTGGTAGAGTCACATTATTAACTTTTCTAGGCAGGTGGCCAGTTTTGATCCAGGGACAAAGGAAGTTCAGTCTCTTCCGGTGATAGTTTCTCAAATCTACTGTGATTACTTTGACCAGGTGTTGAAAAGGATTGCCTGGGGGTGATGGCTCCTGCCTATAATCCTAGCACTTGGGAGGTAGAAGCAGGAGCATCAGGAATTCAAGGTCATCCTCAGTCACATTGAGAGCTACCTAGGCTACATGAGACCCTGTCTAGTGCTATAGTCACAAACTGTAGATGTCTGTGGTACACAGACATGCTCACATTGGGTTGTATTCCTCAGGGGTAGATAATAAACATAACATTAGTAAATATATAGAGAGAAGCAGGCAGTTCTAGAAATAGGTTGACCTTTTTTTTTAGTATCTTATTTGTCTATTATCTTTCTTGGTGTTTTCTGCTTCTGTTTGCTGGAAAGTGTTTAAGAGCTTAACATGATACACACTAATCCACATCAAGGGTAGAGCCTTAGTACGCCTCCGGCTCAGAGAGGCTCTGTGGATCAATTCACAGCTGACACTTGAAAAATTTGAAAATGGGCAGGTTTTTAATGCAATCAAGATGAGCTGATGGTGGAGCGTGTCAAGAATCTTCTAGAAAGCAAGTGATCCGGGATGATCTAGATGAGGTGGCCTGGGTCAGATCTGTTCAATTTTATGGTGTATAGTCAGTGTCCAGAACCCCTTGGATTTCTCAGTTCTGAACAAAAGGACTTTATAAAGAAAGAGTAAGAGAAAATTTAGTCCAGATGAATGGTTATATAAGATTTTTGGAGGAGCTCCGATCCTCATGGAATGTGCAACTTTACTGCATATCATTAGCATGGGTCATCCCAGCAAAGTGGTCAGTGAGGAGATAATTAGAGATTCAGTGGGCTCCACTGGAAAGAAAGCCTGACCAGGAGACAAGGTTATAATTCCAGAGGAGATGAGAAACTTGCTGCTTGAGCAGAGAGTGAGAAAGGGCTTGACACCTGTCTCTGTGTGTAGTCCAGCTTTCCTAGCAGTAGGGAGCCTGGCTCTTTCTTTTTCTCTGGAAAACAGACATCCCAGACTCCGTATGAGCATGGCAGGAGGTGGTCAGGCCACGTGGTGGTGATTTATAGCTGACGTGGTAGCTAACATACTACACGCCAACTCTGCAGGCCCTTTGCTAGTGCTTTTCATTCAGTAACTAATTAGCCTTCACAGATAACCTGCTGAAAAGGCTTTCCATTTTATAAAGGAAGAGAAAGAAAGGCGAGGGAGAAGTCTGTGCAAGGTCTCAGAGCTAAGGAGCAGAGCAAGAATCTGAGCCTAGGTTTGCTGGCCCTGTAGAGGATAGTGGTAGGTTTGGGAGCCAGGCTGCCTGAGTTCAACTCTTGTCAGTGTGGCTGCCACCGAGTCGCCTGGGACACATGATATAACCTCTCGCTGCTCCAATGTCCTCATTTGAGAAAATGCAGTCAGGATATCCTACATCCTAGTATTGTACAGAGGTAAAATGTTTGTTAAGCACATGAAAGGCAGCTTAGTAAATTATAGTCAATAGTAGATATTCTTATGAAGATGGAGGTTGCGGTCTTAATCTCCTGGAACACTGACCTTTTAAAAATTTATATCCTGATCAGGTATGGTGGCAAAAGCTTGTGATCCCAGCACTTGGAAGGTAGAGGCAGAAGAATCAGGTGTTTAAGGACAGCCTCAGTTACACTGCAAGTTTAAGGCTAGCCTGGGGTACATGAGACCTGTCTCAAAAAATTAAAAAAATAAGCCAGGCGTGGTGGTGCACACCTTTAATCCCACCACTTGGGAGGCAGAGGCAGCTGGATCTCTGTGAGTTTGAGGCGAGCCTGGTCTACATAGTGAGTTCCAGGACAACTGGGGCTACAGGGAGACCCTGTCTCAAAAAGTCCAGAAAAAATAAAAAATAAAAAATAAAATGGCATTTTGGCATGATAGAAGCCTTGTAGAGCCCATATATATGGACTAAAACTAACTTTTTACTTATTAACACCCCAGTTTAGCATTGACTATTTTAAAAAATATTTTAACAGTGGGCGAATTGACCTAGAAGGTTAATAAGTAGCCTAAAATCTTCCAGCAGGCAACTGAAAGAGCTACAGTTGCAACCCAGGCCTCTGTCCCAGAACAGGTCTCTCTTGCTCCTTTCATATGAATGAAATCCCTCAGAGTGCTGTGTTTATCTCCAAAGACAGACAGGTGCCCACAGGAAACCTCCTGGATATTATTTCCTAAGGGTTGACTAATGCTTTATGCTTTCTAAAACATTTTCACAGCCTGGCACCTGCATGTACCACACACCCACATTCCCCATGGAGAGATGAAGAAACTAAAGCTTTAGGGTTCAACCTGCAAAGGCTGAGGGACACATTGGTGGCAGACTCTTCCTACCATTTACTGTCCTGAACTACACCTGGGCTTTACAGGTCACTAAACCAGTGTTGTGATTTGGGGGGAGGGGTGTTGAAGGGTGAGCTTAGAGTCTCGTCCATGCCAGGCTAGTGCTCTCCCAAACCTCTTTAAACCTTTGCACATTGACACAGGGTCTCATTAAGCTGCCCAGACTGCCCTTGCCTTCTGTAATATGGTAGGCCTTGAACTTGCAGTCCTCCTGCCTTAATCTCCTGAGTAGATGGAATTGCAGGCCTGCTTTAAAGTTAACTTCCTATGTGATTTCATAGTCTCCAATCAACTGCAAGGTCATTTTCAAGTAATAACTTGAAGAAGTTTGTAACAGCAACTTCAAATGCAGAACAAAAAGTATCTTTTAAAAAAAGAAAAATTATCATTCCATGTGTGGCAAATAAAGTTAGACTTCATACCAATTTCTCATAAATTTAGAAGTGAGCGTATTGTTTTTTGTGTACATGAATGTGGCGTATGCGTATGGTACATATGCATGGTATAGGTGAGTTCATGTGCGTGTGTGTCTGTAGGAGTTTGGAGGCCACAGGCTGATGTCAGGTGTCTTCCTTGATGACTCTCCACTTTATTTCCTGGGGCAGGTCTCTCACTAAGCTCTCAGATTCAGCTGGTCTAGCTAGACAGCTTGCCCCAGTGATTCCGTCAGCCTCCCCAGCTGGTGGGCTGCCTCTCCCACCTGACTTTTTATTTGGGTGTTGGAGTTCAGACTGTGGTCCTCATGTTTACAGGGCAAGCGCTTTGTCCATAGAGTCATCTCCCCAGCCTGAAGTGCACTACATCCCTAGCTCATAGACACACGGACACACACACGAGCTCATATACATAATAGCAGCTTCAGATGAATAAAAACATGTACAGAGAGAGAGAGAGAGAGAGAGAGAGAGAGAGAGAGAGAGAGAGACTCTTTAAGGGTTCTCAGGAGAAAGCAAACTGTCTTGGCTTAATTTTAAATATTAATCACCTTTAACACTTTCCTGAATCCTCAGATGCATCTAGGTATATCTACATAAACCTTAAGACTACTTACTGAGACTCAAACTTGAACTGGGAAGCTGTTTTTCATTTGTTCTTTAAAGCCAATTGTCCATAATCCCTAAGGCTAGTTCGTGATGTAGGAATTGGGGCAGGTGTTTTAGTGAGACACTGTTGTTAGTGTCTGTTAGTTTGGAAGTTTTAGAATATGAATTAGTCCTGTTCACAGTTAGAACCTATGAACATTCCCGGTGCCAACTTTGAAGACTTGAAGGATACCTCAGACATAAATTTCTAATAGAACGTTACCATCACAATAGTGTACTAGTGTAGTATAAACCACATTTTAAAAACACTGGAGAGATGGCTCAGTGGTTAAGAACACTGACTGTTCTTGCAGAAGACCCGGGTTCAAATCCCAGTACCCACATGGCAGCTAACAACTCTCTGTAACTCCAGTTCCAGGGGATCCAACAGCCTCTTCTGTCTTCTGAATGTAGGTAAGTGCACGACACGGGTGCACTTACCTGCATGCAGGCAATACACACATATACATAAAATAAAAGTAATATGTTTTAAAAAAGAACACCTACCCTATATGAGACACTGAATTAGGCACTTTATACATTTAAGCTCTTAGTCTTAGCACAACCTCACAAGGTATATGTTGTTATTCACACTTAAAAGGAGTGATACATGGGGTTGGAGAGATGGCTCAGCAGTTAAGAGCACTTGCTGCTCTTGCAGAGGCCCAGAACCCACATCAGGTGACTCACAACTATCTGTAACTCCAGCTCCAGGATATCCAACACCCTCTTCTGGCCTCTGTGGGTACCTGAACATATGTGTGCATATTAACATGGATATACCCACATACATAAATAAAAGCAAAATATGTTTCTGGATTCTCCAATCAGCATCCATTTATGTTTAAAAAACAAATTTCATTAGAGAGATTTCTACATAATGTTACTTATCAAAATTCAAACTCTAAACTCTATTTTATTTTTTGAGACAGGGTCTCTAGTTCAGGCTGGCTTCAAACGCTCCATGTAGCTGAGAAAGGACTTGATCTTCTGATCCTCTTGCCTCTACCTCATGATTGATGGAATTATAGGTGTGTGCCACCATGTCTTGTTTTATGCAATGCTGGGGATTGAACCCAGGGCTTTGTGCATGCTAGCCAAGCACTGTTCCAACTGAGGTATATCCCCAGTCATAGATATATATCTGCTGACCGTCTGTAGAGCAGTGTGCGTGGCGGTTTCCAAACACCAAACCAAGCAATCTTTCTCATTCTTGTCTTGTTGCCTTAGGCACTGAAACTCTGCACTCTCCTGTCCTAACCCTTCTCATACCTCTCCTCCCTTTGTTTCTATTGCTGGGCTTGACCACGGTCCAGATTTCTTCCCTCTAAGCACACCTTTCCTTAGTCAGTGGGGTTCCATTTACATTCATGGCCCTTCCCCTCTTCTTTTGATGCACCCCTAGAGCTTCTTACATTCTCTGTGGCTTTCTCTCCTGGTTGCTGAGGCCCCCATGTCTTCACCCTTAGCCTCTTTCTTGTGCTCCTGAGAAGCATTTCTACCTGGCTATGCTCCTAGAAAGTTAAGTTCATTTGTCCATGTCTTCACCCTTAGCCTCTTTCTTGTGCTCCTGAGAAGCATTTCTACCTGGCTATGCTCCTAGAAAGTTAAGTTCATTTGTCCAAAACTAAACTCATCCTCACTACTCTCTCTGGATGATTCTTCTTGAGGCTTTGCCCTTCCTTTGCCAGAGACTCAGGGGACCCAGGTGTCACCAGTGTGGTTCCCCCTCTTGCATCATTCTTTTTTTAAAAAAGTTTTATTTTTATTTTATTTTGTGTGTGAGTGCATTGCTTGCATGTATGTAAGTGCACCCATGTTGTACAGTGCCCATGGAGGTCAGAAGAGGGTGTCAGATACCCTGGAACTGGAGTTTTGGGCAGTTGTTAGCTGCCATGTGGGTCCTGGGAACTGAACCCAGGTCCTCTGCAAGAGCAGCCAGTGCACTGAGCCATCTCTCCAGCCCCTCTCTTAGCATTCTTAACCCATGAGTCTCTGTTCATTCTCCATCCACAGTGGCTTTCATAGCATCTCTCTCCTTCTCTCTCAACGTTGATTCTAGGCCATCATGGCACAGAACAACTCATGCTAGCATTGCCCCTCTCCAAGCGGTCTGTAGATGGCTTTATGGCTGTCTTTCTAAATGGCCTGTCTTTTATTTTCACTAACCCACTACACCTTAGAGAGCTTGCTTTTCCCCAGAAGTGGATGTGTTAGCCAGCTGTGAACTTTTAATTGATTACTGGCATAAGCTAACATATATTAAGTGTCTCTTCAGTATCTCACTTTGAGGTGCTTAAAACATGCTATTTATGCTATGATCACCGAGGCCCCTGCAAGCCTGCACAGTTAACATGGAGATACAGATACAAACTGTAAATGTAGGTGGTTTATTTCATGTTCTATATGCCACATAAAATCCATTACATAAGCACAGAGCCAATACCTTGATTGGTTTGAATTCTATTGGCTAGTGGATTAAAAATTCACAAAGAGCTGTATGTGCTGGCGTATGCCTTTTATCTCAGTACTCAAAAGATGAGGCTGCTCTGAGTTCAAGGCGAGCCTGAGGTACATAGTAAGACTCTCTCAAAAAAAGGAAAACAAGGGCCAATGAGATGGCTTAGCAGGTACATGTGCTTGTCACCAAGTCTGATGACCTGAGTTTGATTCACCTGGACCTATGTGGTAGAAGCAAGAACTGACTCTGACAAATTTTCCTCTTATCTCTACACTCATGTCACAGGAAGACAATGGGCTAAATAAACATGCAGTGACCGGTCAGTGCTCTCTTGGTTAGCCTAATTATGATCACAATTTATGTTTTGTTTTGTAGTTCTAACTTTTGCAGGGGATGATAAAGTAGCTGTGGGTCACTTTGCTAGTCTTCTATCTCAGACAAGCACCTCTGACGTCACCTTTGGGTCTCCCTCAACTTCCTCGGTGTCTCCATCCATACATCAGTTTAGCAGGTGTCTGGGAACCTCTGTTGTATTAGTCAACATACTGAGTATTGGGATCCAGTGGGTGACAGGAGTAGAGGCTGTAGAAGTAAAAAGCCAGGCCAAGAACCGAAGCAAGAGTGGATGGATATTTCAGATACAGCAGAGATTTCTCTCAGAAGTAACACTGAATTTCACCCAAGAGATGCTAATGGGCCAGCCAAGGGAAGTTGAGGGAAAGCACATTCCAGGCTGAATAAGCATTCCTCCCCACAAACATCTGAGGGAAGCAGCTCAGCACATTCCCTGTGTTAAGCAGGCAGTGGAGTACTGGCACCCAGAGAACAAGTGTAGGAGATGAGGAGCGTAGGTAGGGCCTGGCTAGCCTGGATATGGAATTTGCATCTGATTCTGCTTGTTGTGGGGACTTACACAAAACGTGATCTGAATAGCCATTCATGAAGCGCTCTCTGTCCGCTGTACGGAGGCTTAAGTGTGGAGAGGCAAAGATAGGAGGTGCAGTGTGAGGCCTGGTCTAGGTGAAGGAAGACTGAAGCTCGGACTGGGGTGGTAGAAAGGTAGGTGGCGAGAAATGGTGAAAGTCCACTGTGGTGTTTGTTACCCTGAGTCCTTCTTGGTTTCCATCCTCATACAACCTGAGAGGACCCATTTAAATTAAAAACATGTCTATAGAAAACAGAGAGATAACAGCACTATGCACAAAAGTCAAGTTACAGGATCAGGTGTCCATTAACAGATAAAATGTGGTATATATACACAGGGGAGTTTTATTCAGCATAAGGAACAATGAAAAATTAGGCTATTTACAGGAAAGTGGATAGAATTGGAGATCATGTTAAGCAAAATAAGATCCACAAAGCCAAATATCATGTTTTCTCTCATATGTGGATTCTAGATTATTTGTACATATTCATATACACACTTATATGTCATGATAATAGAGGGGGACTATTGGGAAGAGGAAAGCAGACTCATAGAAGGGAAGAGTGGGGGCAGAAGAGTGTAATGGGGAATTAATGTGATGAAAGTACATGATACACCTCAACAAAAATGTCATTACTGAGCTGGGGATGTAGCTCAGTTGGTAGAGTGCTTGCCTGGTAGGCATGAAGCCCTTGATTCAGTCTTCAGCACGGTATATATCTGGTGTGGTGGTGCACCCCGGTAATCCTAGCAATTGGAGAGTAGAAGCAGGAGGATCAGAAGTTCAAGGTTATCCTTGACTACATGTTGAGTTGGAAGCAAGCCTGAGATACATGAGACCCTGTCTCAAAAAAATAAAAAATGTCATTATGAAACCCATCCTGTCTATACAATTAATACACACTATTAAAAACTGACTAAAACAAGTATTGTAAAGTACTAACCAGGCCACCAGATGATGCTCTGTAAGTGAAATTTTCTTTTTCTTCTGGCAAGTGGAGACATTCTTAAGGGGCTTTTTGTGCGTGCTTTAAAAAATAATACTATCAGACTGGGAGTTGGTAAACTTGTAAGGCACAAAGACCTCAGTTTGATCCTCAGAGGTAATTTTTTTTAAAAAAAGCCAGGAATGGTAGCACACATTTGTGATCATGGCACTGGGGAAGCAGAAGAGATAGGTGACTCCTAACCAGCAGGCTTGCTTAGTGAATTCAAGGTCAATGAAAGACCTTGCCTTGGGAAAGAAAAGGGGGATAGGTTTCTGAAGAATGACCCTGGAGATTGTCCTCTAGCCTCCACACACACACACATATGAACATGCTCATACACACACAAACACACAAAAATTATACTATTCAAACATTGGTTTCCTAAAAGATTGCCTTTGGTGGCTAGATACAAGGGAGAATGTGACATCTTCTGATAGCTAATAAGCTCATTCATTGATGCTCTCCAGTTCTCCCAAAGACTTGAACTGGCTGTGAATACATTATGTAGGCCAGGCTGACCTTGAACTTGCTGTAGTTATCCTCCTTCAGTTTTCTAAGTGCTGGGACAATAGACATGCATCACCACACCCTGCTTTGATGTGCTTAAAACGTGAAAAAGCAATGGACTACACATTCTCTGCTCTAAACAGAGCAGATGTATAAATAAAAATCCTCTTGTGAGCCATTTCCCTTCTTTCTCTGAAGCAGCTGTCAAAATGTTCCCCACTGGGTAGAATGCGTTAGACAATGTAAACTTGTTAAAGGCAGTGGATGGTGCATATTAGTTAATGTGTATCCAGCTCTCATGGTGGGGGGGGATGACAGTCATTTCTTAATGCCTTACAAGTATTTCTTTTTCTTCTTCTCTTCCTTCTGCCTTGTGGATTACAGGTTCTCTCAGTCCTAGATGTGACAACTCTGGACAGTGCAGCTGTAAACCAGGTGTGATAGGACATAGGTGTGACCGATGTCTGCCAGGCTTCCATTTACTCACTGATGCTGGGTGTACCCGAGACCAAAGAACACTGTAAGCATCTGTCCTGGTTTGCTTTTCTATTATTGTGACAAAACACTCTGACCAAAAGCAACTTGGGGAGGAAAGGGTTTATTTCACCTTCTACTTCCAAGTGACAGTCCATCATAGAGGGAAGTCAAGGCTGGAACCTGGCGGCAGGAGCTAAAGCAGAGACTGTGGAGGAATACTGCTTCCTGGCTTGCTCTTGGGCTCATATTCAGCTGCCTAATTCATCCTAGGCCCCACCTGTCTAGGGATGATACTGCCCACGGTTGACTGGGCGCTCCTACATCAATTAGCAGTCAAGAAAATGCCCCTGCAGAATGCCCACCAGCCATGATAAAGGAAGGTCTTCATTTGAGGTTCCCTTTTTCCAGGTGTGTTAAGTTGAAAACCAAGATTAGCTATCACAGCATCCTAACTCCACCATTGCTGTTATCAGGGGAATAATGACACCTGTAAATAAACTCTCTTTTGCAAAATGTCTTTTCAGTGATTGCCATTCTGCATAGCAGGCAAAACAAGCTTGTTTTGGTAATAATTCAGCATGCCAGGCAGAAACAAAGGCCAGATGGAACTCGGGCCGGTGACTCATTGGCCATCTGCTAGTTTTGGAAGCTTGTAGATGAGTCCAAGCAACTGTCTGGACCACTTGTCCCAGAGACTGTCCCCAAGAGTTCTTCTGGCTTTGGACTGCTAATGGTTTTATTTAGTATTTTATTATTTTTATTTTTTTATCTGTGTGAATGTGTTGCCTGCATGTAGGTAGGTGCACCCATGTCATGAAGTGTCCGAGGAGGTCAGAAGAGGGCATCGGATCCCCTGGAACTGGAGTTATAGGCAGTTGCTAACTGCCATGTGGGTGTTGGGAATTGAACCTGGGTCCCCTGCAAGAGCAGCCAGTGCTCTTAACCACTTAACTGCTGAGCCATCCCTCCAACCTTGGAACTGCGAATGTTTGACGTTTAATTTCACCTTGTAATAGAGAAACAATGCTGGGCTAGACACACGCATTATTTGTTGGCTAGACAAAGTCTTGTTGTGTAGCCTAGGCTGCCTCAATGATCCTCCCGTCTCAGCTTCCACAGGGTTGGGATTACAAGTGTGTTTAACAACACCCAGTTTAGAAATTCCTCTCTCCTTCCCTTTGGTTTGGCCTTCATTGTGAGTGTCCTGGTTTGGGACATGGATATCAGAGAAAGATTAGGAACTCACAAGGTCTCTTGGTTTCCTTTGGTTCCTGAAGTTCCCACTTCACACCCCTTTTGAAAACTGAAATAGATCAGTCACTGTTCTGGCCACAGTCGTCCTTTTCTGAGGAGATAGGAGCTTCTTATGCAACAGGCTGTAGGCAGGGTCCAACCTCCTACCTTTGCCCAGGCTCAGCTGTGTTTCTCATAGCTCTTTGGTTCCCACATTCCAGCCACCCTTCCTTCTGCAAAGCCACAGACAGAGCTCTTCATGGGCTCCATGCACCACATCATCATCTCCAGGCCTCTCCCTCACACTCCCCCTCCACATTTTAACTCTACATTGATTTTGTTTTGTTTTTGTTTCTATTTGTTTGTGGGGCTTTTTTTTTTTTTTTTTTTAAACACAAGCAGGTCTCCTTGTAGCCCCAGCTGGAACTCTCTATGTAGACCAGGCTGGCCTCGATTTTACAGAGATCTGCTTGCCTCTGCCTGGAATTAAAAGCACGTACCACCACACCCATCTCTGCTTTTACTTTGGATCTCTGGCTTTCCATCTGCATTTGTTTGCTCCTCTCACTAGAATGTGAGCCCTGCCGTGCCCTGTCTTGCTCACTGCTGGGTCCCCAGTGCCTAGCGTGCAAGGGAGGAGGCACCAGGGGTATTCTAGCGTGGCTGCAGCTGCCACTGTACCTTACAGCTGGTGCTGTCCCTGCATCTGCCTCACCTCGAGACTCCAAGAATTCTGGCTGGTTCCTGTTTCTCTTAGTGTCCCAGCACAGTAGATGCTGAGCGTATGTTTGTCAAATGATCCAGATAAGTAGTGTGGAGGGAGCTCAGATAGGAAGGGGGCCGTGAGAACTGAAAGAGAAGTTTGGAGAGGAATTCTGGCTGTGAGCCTGGTTAGATCTAGCATCCATTGGGTGGGGAATGTGAGGGTGAAAGAGTCAAGCAGGCTTCAGGTTTGGGCAGGATTTGGATGGGGTCATAGGGCAGCCAATGGAGGAACATTGTTCATGTCTTTCTCCCAAATGAGATTATACAGTCTTTGAGGAAGATAAGCAGAGTTTGGTTAGTAGGGAAGAGATAACAACTTTGTGACTTTAGACTGATAAGATAGATACATGAGTATACACCAAAATGAGTGATGGAAAACAGTGTTCGTCATAAGACAGGGAGACTATGAAATGACAGCACTGATTCCTTCACAGAAAGTCTTGCTACTAAGGAAAAAAAAACCAAAAAACAAAAAGTCAATCAAATCTAGCAATTCTATGTCTAGGTATGCATCCAAGATAAATGAAAATGCATCTCTGCACCACAACTTACATACAGACATTCGTATAAAGATAGTCATTATATCTGGGAATTGGGAACAACCCAAATAGCTATCAGCTAATGAATGGATAAACAAAATATGGTGTACCCTTATAGTGGGATTTTATTCAGCCATCAGAAGAATACACACTACACGACATGACCTGGGCAAACTTTGAAAACATTATGGCATGTGAAAGAAGTCAGTTGCCAGTGGCCACATATGGTATGATTTCACTGAAAGGAAATGTCCAGAACAGGAAAATCTAGAGACAGAAATGTAGATTCATGTCTGCATTCAACTCAGATGGGACGAAAGTGGGGAAATAGTGTGATACTAAAGAATACAGGATTTCTTTTAGGAGTGATGGGAATGTTTGAAAATTGTTATTTGTGGTGATGGTTGTACAGCTCTGAGAACTGATTACAAATTATCAAAGTGTTCACTCCACATGAGTGCATCCCATGGCCTATGAGCCTATATCCCAGTAGAAACTTTACCAAAAGGAAGAACTGAAAAAACTGAAATAGCAGGTAGATCTGGGCTCCATCATCGTAAAAGTAGACATTGTTGGATTAAACTTTAGACATTAACGATAAATCTTTTTTTAAAAAGCCGAATGAAGAGTCAACCAAACTAACCAGTTTAGTAATGAACTTGGCTTCCATTCTGGCACAGTCCTCTTATTAAGGGTAGGTAGCAAAGGGTTCATGGATTGGCCACTGCCCACAAACCACACTGGCATCAACAAGTGAATCCTTAAGAAGTTTGAAGAGGTCAGCATGAGTTGCTAGGAGAAGCTTCCTGAAAATGGACCATGGAGATGACACTTGCCCAGGGGCAGCTGGCCTTTGTGTGAGAAGCATTTGGAAACCCACCCCTAATTTTCTTTCTCTTTTTTTCCCCAGAGATTCCAAGTGTGACTGTAATCCAGCTGGTATCTCTGGGCCCTGTGACTCTGGCCGCTGTGTCTGCAAACCAGCTGTCACCGGAGAACGCTGTGATAGGTCTGCATGAACCATGTCCCTGTAGACAGTAGGGAGGGCCCCCTGGCAACCAGCAGAAGAATTAATCCCCCAAGTACAATTGTGGAAAATGGATTCTGAACAAATGCTGAGGACTTCTTACTCTCTGGTCTAAAAAACTGAGCCTTAAAAAAATACAGCCAAGCCCCAAAAGCCATTGAAGTTCACATTCTGCTTTGGGTCCCTTTGTTTTTACTTCGAAAGAGGCAGAGGGCCCCAGAGAGTTCCCTCACCAGCTGGCTGTGATTCTCAGGTGCTTGGATGCCAGGTGGTATGCAATAATGAGATCATGTGACTCAGATGGGTCTTGGAAAATGCCTGGCCTAATTAAACATGTTGGGAAAATCCTTGTAACAGGGACTATCACAGTGTATGGCCATATATAACCATCATGTTTCGAAAAAGAACCCCCCAGGGAGGGGATGGTAGCTACGTGTACACACATGAATTGGGGCACCACGTAAGAACCCTTTGGGTCCGAGCCATGTTGGGGTGGGCGGGGCAGCAAGGAACCATTCGCTCTCAGTTGCTGCCGCAGGACGTCTCTTAAATCCAAACTGTGCTCAAGACTAAACTCTTCCTTCCTCTGGCATGGCTGTGAGCAGAGGGGCTGTGAAGGTGGCTCACAACTAAAAGCTTTCTCTTCATTTCCTTAAAAGTAAGAAAGCAGTTTCAGGGCACCCTTCCAATCACTTCTACCTTGCGGGAGGAAGTGCCAAATGCATTCCTAGCTTGTGTTTCAGGGGATTCTTTGCTGCCGAGGAACTGGGTAAGAAGAAATAACTTAAGTGTTGAGAGAGAAGCCACTTTTTTGAAAGTCTTTTGTTTTGGAGGTGGGGGGAGGCAGGCTGGAGAGGTGGCTTAGCAGTTAAGACACTTCCTGTTCCTCCTGCAGACCTGAGTTGGGATCCCCTGCACCCATGCCTGGTGGCTTGTAAATGCCTGTAACTCCTGTTCCAGGGCATCCTACTCCCTCTTCTGGCCTCCTCTGGTATCCAGATGCACCTGGTATACGCTCATACATACATACATACATACATACATACATACATACACATACATACACACACATACACACACAATTTTTTACAAAAAGGAGAATGGGAGTGGGTTGAAATAGAGTGTGGCTCTGTAGCCCAGCCTGGAATTCACTGTGTAGCCAACCTGGCCCTGGAGTCATGGCAATCCTCTTGCCTCTGCCTCCAGATATTAGGATTATAGATATAAGCAACCACTTCCTGCTTGAAAGCCCTTTATTTCTTCCTTCCTTCCTTCCTTCCTTCCTTCCTTCCTTCCTTCCTTCCTTCCTTTCTTTTTCTTTCTCTCTCTGTTTCTTTCTTCCTCTCTTTCTTTCACTCTCTCTTCCTTCCTTCCTTTTCTTTTCTTTTCTTTCTTTCTTTCATTTTGAAAGGTCTAAGCAGACCTGGAATATGCTATGTTGCAGAGGATGGCCTTGAACTCCTCCTGACTCTCCAGCCTCTACCTCCCAAGTACTGGGATTATAGGCATGCACCATCACACCTGGTTTTGAAAGTCTTTTTAACTTTAAAATATGAAACAAAAAATAGAAAGCTACATAAAACAGCGATTGTCATCACCACCAAAACCAAAAGGAGATCTCTGCTAAAATGTGCTAACCCAATGACACTCGTGCAGGCGACCCCTTGCTGGCTTTCGTGCTAATCACTTCCTTACCTTTTTCATCATTTGTTATCCTACAGTGTCCTTAAAGGCATCATCCAGTTTCACCTGATTCCTTCCCCTCCCTCAACCTTTCCTTTCCATGGATTTGAATCTTGACTCTACCCCTTACCAGCTATGTAACCTCAGACAGGTTTCTTAAACTCTCAGTTCTCCTCATCTAAGAGAATTGGAAATGATAATTCCTATTTCATAGGGTGCAGGGAGGATTAAATAAAGGAGCAGACCAAAGGTACCAGGCTAACACAGTGATGAGTAAACAACCATTGGAACTATTCTTGTTCCTTGTGGAAGGAGGTAGTTAATTCGAACAGAGAAAACTCAAGTCCTCCTCGGCCTCCCTTCCAGTCTCCCCTGCAGCCCCCACATCTCAGCCTTCCCTGGCAGTTATCCACGGAAAAGCTGCTAGGGAGCTTGCGCTGGAAGCAGAGGTAGAATGCCAGCCTGCAATTAGCTGCTGTGGAGCATCTCTAGCCATCCTTTTTCTTTATGAGATTCTTACCTGCCCTTTCCTCTACTGGCCAGAACTGGGGTATGAGGGACAGGATGGTGATAAACACTTAAATGTCCCAGGGATCCGGACAGCTAGGTGGGTGCTGAGTCAGGAACCTTGCTTCTCTGGTCCCCACTTTGCCCCGATTAAATGCCTGCTCCAGGATAGGGTGGCTCTGCATTTTCCTGTCACATCCCTCCCTGTGCCTCTCACTGACCTCCATCTATCACTGAGGATGGGTCAGTCACCAAGTTTGCAGACCACCAAAGCAAACATGATTGATTCTGCTCTGCTGAAAGAAGAGAAAGTGAACTGTCTCATTCTGGGGGGCTGTGATTGCCCATCTGGTGGTCTAGGGTACAGGTAGTATATGGAACTTTCCATCTTCCCCATTCTAGGAATTAATGTTGCCAAGTGGGAAAGAGAGTAGGAAGAGGCTGAATCGGCCGTTGTATTTTCTATACAAAATAAGAAATAGCCCATAGCATTGTCCTAACTCCTACAATCCCACTACAGGTGCCGATCAGGCTACTATCATCTGGACAGTGGAAACCCTGAGGGCTGTACCCAGTGTTTCTGCTACGGGCATTCGGCCAGCTGCCACAGCTCTGCAGACTTCAGTGTCCACAAGATCACCTCAACATTCTATCAAGGTAAAGCATCACAACCAAGTGTTTTGTTGTTTTACATTGTACAAGGATTTATGATTTGTGCTTACTAACGGCTGATTCCATAGGATGGCTTCTCAAGTCATCTTTAGTAATTCTCATATTAGTGTTTATTTGCTTATTTGTTTGTTGAAATAGGGTCTTATGGTATCCAGACTGGCCTCCAACTCACTATGTAGCAGAGGATAATCTTGAATTTCTGATCTTCCTGCCTCTACCGCCTAGGTCCTGGGATTGCAAACCTGTGCTACCACACCCAAATTATTCCATGCTGGGGATCAAACCCAGGGCCCCCTGCATACTAGGCAGGCACGTCACCAAATTAGTTATATCCTTAACCCTTTCATTGCTTTTAATGCACATTATTTGGTTGAGATAAGACAAGCAACATGCCCTGAAATATAGCTCAACAACATATGAATAACTTAGAAATAACTAAAAAAGACCAGCTATTTATATCCCTGCACTTGCCACCTCTGTCTATTTCAAAACCACAAAAGAATTATTCATTTGGAAGGTGGAGAACATCCACCTTCCATCACTCACATTCACTAATACGACCTTTGCATATATTGAGTTAATGTATCTCATCAGTTAGGAAGCTACAGAACAGTATTAAAATATTGGAAATTGACATTATTTCAACTAGTCTGAGTTTCTGGACCTTCTAATCTCATTTAAAAAAGACCTTATGTATGTACATATAATAAAAATACAAATAAAGGCAGGTGAAAACAAGCCATCTTATCATGAGTCCAAAGATAAGGACCAAAGATAAAGACCGAAGATAATCCAAGGGGGCCAGAGACATGGCTCAGTGGGTAAAGGCTAACCCCGATGACCTGAGTTTAATCCTTAGTTCCTGTATGGTGGAAGAAGAGAACTGACCTCCTAAAGTTGTCCTCCGACCTTCTTGATGCACCACAATACATACACACACATGTATACACACACACACACACACACACACACACACACAATACAAAAACTGATTTTTTTAGATAAATCAAAACAGCTGTGAGTAGGAGCTGGTGGACAGAAGTGCTTAGGGAGTTTGGAAATGGTAAAGGAATGTGAAAATGCTAAGAAACCCCACTTTCTACTCCTTCTAGGACTTTTTGGCAAGCAAGTCTTGTCAGTGTATGATGGATGCTATCTCATAGAGTGACATTTTTGTCTTGCAGATGTTGATGGCTGGAAGGCTGTCCAGAGAAATGGGTCTCCTGCAAAGCTCCACTGGTCACAGCGCCATCGGGATGTGTTTAGTTCTGCCCAACGATCAGACCCAGTCTACTTTGTGGCACCTGGTATGTGAGGAATAATTGCAGTAGAAGCCAGCTTATAGGAGGAAAGAGTCAGGATAGAAAAACTGAGTTGGGAAATATGATTGGGATCCTCATCCTGGAGCTACAGCAGCCCCAGGAGAGAGCTAGGGCTTGAACCAATTTGATGTCATCACTCCAAGACACTGTAGAGCACCCTGGGTGTACCCTGGTGTTCCGCCCCTGCTGAGATGCCCAGGTGAGTTTAGGTTTCACACCCAAAGCATGCAATCAAACTTATGGATCTACAGAGAAATAGAGCATATCTTTTTAAAATTTGTTTAATTTTTTACTTGTGCGTATGCATGTGTGCATGTGTGTGTGCGCATGTGGGTACCCATAGAGGCCAGAAGACAGTGTTAGAGTCCTTGGAGTTGGAGTTACAGGCAGTTGCAAACTGCCCAAAGTGGGTGCTAGGAGCTGAATACAGATCCTGTAGAAGAGCAAGAAGCCCTCGTAACTGCAGAGCCATCTCTCCAGTTGCAAAACAGGCCTTAAAGTTTTAAAAACATAATTAGCAATATGTGCCTAAGTGACAAAGTTCTGCCTAGAGTTTGAATTCAAGTTCATAACCTTAGCTAATTTAGCACTTCCAAACAAGTTTTTCTTTTAACATCTCTAAACTTCAGGTCTCTCAATTATTAAATGGGACTGGGCATGCCAGCAGTCAAAAATTATTGCCGTCAAGTGTTTGTGGGATTGGGAAGATGGCTTAGTCAGTAACGTGCTTGTTGTGCAAACATGAGGACCTGAGTTTGAATCCCAAGCACCCATTAAAAAACTGGGCACAGTTTCATGAGCCTGCAACCCCAGCCCTGGGGAGGTAGAGACAGGAGGGTCCCTGATGCTTGCTAACCAGTTAATCTTGCCAAACTGGTGAGCTCCAGGCTCAGTAGGAGACCATCTCAAAAAATAAGATGGGAAGTAATTGAGGTGGACACCCAAGGTCTTCTCCAGCCTCTATATGCATGTGTACCTATGTGCACATGTATGCATGCTCACCTGCACATACATACACATATGATGTCTGCAAAAACATTCTGTAAATTATAAAACACTATATAATACATCATATGTTTGTTTACCTGAGATCTTCTTACATCAGTCTGTCTATAATGGTCATGCTATGAAGTATCTAATAGATAGAATTCTCTTATGATCAGGACTTTTAAAGATTTTAGTAACTCACTTTCACTGCCAAAACTTCATAGTAATGGCCTGTGCTGTGTGCTAATTCTTCTGTCAGGGTGGTTCGGGATAAGAAAGTGGGTAGGTCACATAGGACTGCAGAAAAAAATGACAACATCAGTTAAAACTTGTTCACATATTTGCCTTTCCACCATTGCAACTGATCTTTTCAAAAAATCTGTTTTACAGCCAGATTCCTAGGTAATCAGCAGGTGAGTTATGGGCAAAGCCTGTCTTTTGACTACCGTGTGGACAGAGGAGGCAGACATCCATCTGCCCATGACGTGATTCTGGAAGGTGCTGGTCTACAGATCAGAGCTCCCTTGATACCACTTGGCAAAACACTTCCCTGTGGAATCACCAAGACTTACACATTCAGGTAAAAAGAGAAACCACAAGTGCATCAAATAGAGTCCTTTGTTAATTCCTTCAGGCATGCATTCATGCAACAAGGTTTTTTTGAGATGCTTTAGTTACTGGGCATGGTATTACATGCAGAAACAGGATATGGTTCCTTCCTTCCTTCCGTCCATTAGCTGACTGAGGGGAAAGTGAGGAGGGGTAGTTGAGATAAGTAAATGATAGAAGTGCAGTGTGTCAAGGACTGAGACAACAAAGTAGACACAGGTGTTCTATACACATATAGGAAGTCCAACTGACCAGGATTGGGGTGATGTAGAGGAGTTTCCCAAGAAGGCAGGACAAGGGTGAAGAGCAACCTCGAAGGAAAGGAGGTTGGGAGGCCAGTAGGCAGAGGAAACATGCTTGGAATGCCCAGTAATTGAATGTGAATGGAGAAAGGAATACAGTTAGGACTGAGATCAGAGAAATTGGTGGTGGTGAGGTCATGGATGCCCTGTGCATATCTGTAGAGACTGCACTCATCCTGTAGAATGTGACCTTTGGATGGTGTGTTCAGAGAGATTGGAGAAGGAAGCTGTGCCTGATCAGTGTTTCGTATTGTGTTAGAGGCTGGGAAAGAAATAATGGAACGTGGTCTTTGTCCCACAAGAGCATGTGGTCTGGTAGGACATATAACATCTTTAAAAAGCAAACATAATATAGTTCAGTAGTTGCTTTAGTGGTGGTACATACTCATAGCATTTTGGAATGAGCTTAATTCTGTCTGCAGGAGTCAAGGAATGCTTCCCAGGGGGGAAATTTTCAGACTGAGAATAGAAAGGTGCGTGAAACTTTCCCAGGGAGAAAAGGTAGAGAGATACAACTTCCACATGTGAATTTATGTGAGGATGTAAGAGTTGTTATATAGGGGCAAAAAAAGAAGATTGTAATTGGAATGCAGCATGTGTAAGGGAGATGGGCAAATGACTCAAGAAGTGCTACAGGACTGACAAGATGGCTCTGCAGATAAAGCCCATTGAAACCTGGTGACCTGAGTTTGATCTCTGGAACCTATGTAAACGTGGAAAGAGAGAACCGATTCCACAGTGCTGTCCTCTGATCTTTACATGTGTGGTGTGGCACATGCCCCTCCCATCATGCACAAACACATAAAATAATTTTCAAAAATTATTTTAGATTTATTTTTTAATTATGTGTGTATGTTGGGGGGATACGCTGTGAGTGCAGGTGCCGACAGAGTCCAAAAGAGGCATTGGAAACTCGGGAGTTGGAGTTGCAGGCAGTTGTGAGCTACTCAGGGTGGATGGCGGGAACCAAACTCAGGTTCTCTGTGAGAGCCATATGTGCTCTTAGCTGCTGAGCCATCTCTCCAGCCCCAATAGTAATTTTTTTTGAGACAGGGCTTACTACATATCCCTGGCTGGCCTGGGTCTCACAGAGATCTGCCTGCCTCTGCTTCCCAAGTGCTTGGATTAAAGGGATTGTGCCACCATGCCTGGCATAATTTTCTTTTCAATAAAGAAAAAAAAAAGAATTGTCACAATCAGGTGGAAAGGCTGGGTACAGATACCATGTAGAAGATAGTTTGTGTAGAGTTTGTGCTTGTGTGTGTGTGTGTGTGTGTGTGTGTGTGTGTGCGTGTGTGCATGTAAAGTTTAGAGGACAGCCTCAGGTGTTGGTACTCCCCTTACACACTGATTGAGACAGAATCTTTGTCATTTGCAGCTATGCATGTCTAGCTGGCCCTTAGACTTCCAGGGATTCTCCTGTCTCCACCTCCCACATGGCCATGGGAGCACTGGGATTACAGGTGTGTGCTATTGCACACAGCTTTACATTGGGATTTTGGTCATTCCAACTCAGGTCCTTATGCTTGTGTGGCCAGCACTTTACCCACTGAGCCGTCTCCCAACCCTGGGTAAGGTCTTAACTGGACCATCAGAAGATACTCAGAGTGGATTAGTGAGGTATGGCGACCAACCTGAAGAAGAGATAACAAGAATGGAGAAAGGCAGATCCACAGCACACACACAAGCTAGGTATTTAATTAGCTGAGTGCTACTTACTCTAATGACACCACACACACATCCTGCCTGTGGTATCCACCACATTCTCAGCTTAATGACCTTACTCTTCAAGGTTCAGCTTAATGCTCTTTCTTCACATGAGCTTTCTCCAAATCCCAGGCAAAGTTACACATAATGTGTTTCTATGGCATTGTGTGTATGAATTGGTAAAGCACGTACTGCATTGTATTGTAATTGTTTACCCAGCAGACTCCCCTGGCTGAATGCTGATCACCTCTGCCTTGTTATCTTTTCCTTCAGCCTCATAACTTCTAGCCTGAGCCCAAGAAGACAATCAGTTTTGTTTTTTAAATTTCATTCATTCATTCATTGCAATGCTGAGATGTGAGATTAGTTGCAGGGGTTCATATCTGCTAGGCAAGTGCTCTCTCCCAGAGTTGCATCCCCATCCCCACAATCACATTCTGTTTACTCAACCAGTGAAGAAAATGAAACAGGGTTGTTCTTTAAAAACAATTTTTAAAATTATTTATTTAATAACCACATACTTAGAAGAAGCATTGCATTACATCAGCATTGACATATTCAATAACAATTTTCTGAGCTAG